AATTTTTATTTAGAATCGCCAAATATGCTTAAAGCATTACAATTATTATATTTAAAGGCTAAAAAAACTCAAATATCCGATGAAAATTTTTCAGAAATTTTACAAATATTTGGTTGTAATGGTCTAACATTATATATAACAAAACAAACTCTTCAAAAGCTAGTTAATATTAATATATACTTTGTTAATATGTGTATTAATTCTTATATAGCTTTTACTGGTGAATATACAGAAATGTCAAGGTGCCCTATATGTGAGGCTGCACAATTTAAAAAAAATCAATCTGCATACAAAAATGCAGCCTATTATCCATTAATACCTTGATTAAAATTTCAATATGCTGATTCACAACAGTCTAAAATATTTAGATATCGCTCAAACTATAAGCTTAATTCTACTAAATTTGAAGATATTTTTGATAGACAATTATATAAAAGACTACTACACAAAAAGTTAATACAAGATGAACGAGACTTAATACTTATTGGAAGTTTGGATAGCTATCAAATTTTTTTTCAAAAAAGAGATGATAACTGGATAATTATGTTTATTAATAATATACCTCCAGAAGATCGAGTTAAACATGAAAATCTATTAATTTTAGCAATAATACCAGGTTCTAATTGTCTAAAAATTTAAATAGCCTATTATTAATGAATTAAAAGAACTTGAAGGTATTTAATTTAATATATAATTTTTGATTGATTTATTAAAAAATATTTATTTTAATTTTATTTAGCTGGTGTATTATATTGGGATGGTTGGAAAAAAGAAAATTTTAATTTGCGTACTTTTGTTCCAATATGGTGTGGAGATATACCTGCAATTAGCAAACTAATGAATATAACTGAGCATAATGGATATATGGGCTGCAGATTTTGTAATATCAAGGGAACAACTAATTCAGATGCAGGTGTTAATCATGTATACTTTTCTCTAAAGCATCCAAGTAAAAAGAGCGGAGTATCATATAATACAAAAAACCTTCCTTTATGTAATCATAAATCATATTTGGACAAAATTTCAACTTGGAAAGCTGCATCTGATAAGAAAAAAATTCAAAGAGAAACAGGTATACATATTTAATTAGCATATGATTACATTACATTTTAATAATATTTAATAATAATATTTTTATAGGAATAGCAGGAGAATGTATTCTTTTTGAATTAATAGCTGTACAATTTCCTGCTTCTTTTCCTTTAGACATTATGCATCTTGTCTTTGAAGGTGCCGCTATGCAAATGTATAAGCATTGGTCAGGATCATTTTATTCGAATAGGTCTTTAAATAATGCTGAAACTAATTTACCAACCTTATCAAAAAATGTGTGGAAACAAATTGGTTCAATAATTGAAGCAAATACAAAAGCAATG